CACTCAATATGAATATTTTCCCACAACTTTTAATTATAAACACTTTTTGTTTAAATTTTCTCGAGAATAATGGAATTACTAGGTACAATTACGAAGAAAAAATTCATTTGTTGTTGTTGCCAAGTGCAACCAAATTTCACAAAATTTTTGGAGTGATTACTCGACTTTACACTTTACTATAGACTGACTACTCTCGTCTCTCGTAAACTCGATAAAATGTTTTCCAACTAATTGAGAATGAGTCAAGCTTCAACATTAAACGTTTTGAAGTCTACATAGAAGAATCTCTCCCCCTCTTTCTTCACTCAAATTAATTTCCTTATTTTAAATACCTACTATATATAAATACACCAATTTAAATCCCCAAATTAATTATTTTTTAAACATAATTGTTCTCTTAAAAACAATTATGTTTATTTAATTATTTGCTATCTCAATATAGGCCAGATTTATGCAAATTTGTTTGTATTATCATAGAAATAACTGAATCAAGAATTAGTTGAATTTGATCTGTGTCCTTAAAAAATTATTTTTTAATAAATAAAAAATAATTAATTATTAACTGTAGCACATGTTTGGTGTACATAAATTGTTTTTCTTGGATTTGCGTTTAATGCTTCAAATTTTCTTCGAATAAAGTTGATTGAGTCGTCGTAGGTTTGTGGACCTATTAAATAGTTAATTATTTTGATTATTTGTGTAATCTTTTAAAAGATTAAATTTTGTTTATTCAGACACCAGTCTTTAATCGGGGAGAGTAACAACAATTTTCATTTCTGTTACTTATTAAGGAGGGAGTATTTACATTTTTGGACACCTTAGGATATCCAAAATATTGCTTATTAAAAAAATTAAAAAATTTCAGAACCATCATAATCCTTGAAGCAAACTCGAATAGAAACAAAAGTAATCTTTTCAGCAAAAATATCCCTTTTGTTGAGGAATAAAATAATTGAAGTTTGTAGAAACCAACGAGAATTACAAATACTTTCAAATAATCTCATACTTTCAATCATTCGATTCTTTTAATTTTTTTAAATATTTTTTTTTCTTCAAAACTAAATACTTACAGTTGTCTCATCTTCAAATAAAACCTTTAAAAATTAATTTAAAAATTTTTTTTTTCAAAATTTATTAAAATAAATACTTCATCATATTCAGAAACTGCTGCCATAAAAATAACAGCATTAACATCCTCAAAACAATGTATCCACTTTTTTCGTTCAGAACGCTGACCTCCAACGTCAAAAACCCTTTTTTTAATTAAAAATGTATTTTCATTATTTATTTAAGACAAAAAAGAAAAATAATTTTAAATTGATGCACGCAAATGAACTTTGCGTAGAAAACACGATTTTTGAGGAAGTTTTTTTAATACAAAAAAATTTTCTGTTTACTTTAAATTATTCTAAAATTTTTTGTATTTTAAAATTATTTGTTTAAAAGATAGACTAAAATTTTTAAAAAATAATAGAGAGAAATGTAAAAAAAATATTTTAAATATTTATTTACCTAAATTTAACACCTTTAATTAAAAACGATATTTCCACAATTCCAGTAGTTTTCTAAAAAATATAATTTTTTATTAAACAAAAAACTTTTAATTAACTAACAATTCTGGTTAAAAGTATATCTTGTCTAGAAGGTCTATAACTTGGATTGCTAACTCTGTCCAAACTATCCAAAAAACTTTAAAAAATAATTAATTATTTAAAATTATTTATTTAAATTTAAACTGTTTAGCAGAATCGTGTAAATGAAATTCTAAACGTTTAGAGTATGTTTGGGTATTTAATGCCGGATCTGCCCAGAGTCTTTTCATTGCAGCTGCTAATTCATCACTAAAAGGTTCACTTTCTTCTTCATTTCGAATTGTTTCCATTACTAAACGAGCATCTTCCTTTAAATTAAATAATTGTGATTTAAATAAAACTTAAGTATTTAAAAGAAGAAACAAGAAAGGAATAAATTGATTTAATTTAAATTAGGTACTCTATTTATTTCTCAACTAAATTACTTAAAAATTATTTTATAAAATTCCATTCTTTTAAATATTAATCAATTATTTTACCATTCTTTTTGGTTCTGTAAATCCAATTTTATATAAATTCATTCCTCGAAGAAGTTCTGCCATTGCATGAACTTAAATATATATTTGAAAAATATTTATTTAATTTTAAATATATTTAATTTACCAGTATTTGAATATACAACAGATCTTTGTTGTAAAAGTTCCTTAAAATTGAAAAAAAAGGAATTGAAAAAAAGGAATATATTTAAAGATAATTAAAGATAATATTTTTTAATTTTTATTAAATTTACTTCTTCAGTAAATCCATCGCTGTGAAGAATTCTAAAAAAATAAAAATAATTTTCCAAAAACTTTATTAATTTAACCTCATTTGTTTCATTAATGTACTTTTACCGCATTCTCCGGCACCTGTTTATTTAATTTTTTATTAAAAATTAATACAGAAATTTGTTTAAAATTGGAGAAATCTTAGTGTTTCTATCAAAATCCTCCTCAAAGACAAATGGGGTTTTTTGTTTTGCTTCTATAATAATTAAAGTTTAGGCACGACAGAGAGGTTTGGAAATAATGAGATTTAACATAAAAGGGAAGAAATACTTATAATTAAATCCCCCCCCCCCTTTTTTTTTATTTAAATTAAAATAATTTATAAATAGATATATTTATTTATTTTAAAACAATTACCAAGTAAAAGTAATTTAATTTGTTTATCCTCCCCTTCAGCAATTTCACGTATACTTTTGTCGATCATTTTACTATTTTTTGTTTGTTTTTTCTCTTCTTCACTTTGGCAAAGTCCCATTATTTAAATATATTAATTATCTGATAATTTTGTAAAATAATAAAGAGCTCGCTTTTTTCTTAAATAAAAATTAAAATTAATAAAAAAAAGAGGGGAACGGTTAAAGTATCAAAAATAAAGATAAACGGCGGTTTAAATAAAATGTAATAAAATAAAGTGTAATTAACATAAATCTTAATTTTTAAATAACGGATATTATGAATAAAAACTAAATATTTACTTAAAATATTTATTTTTAAAGCTTGTTCTCTAAATTTAAAAAAAAGGAATGAGTGTCAAAGAAACGCGCATGTTTAAGCTCCTTTTTAATTTTATAAACAATGCCACATTTTCATTATTATTATTCACTTTTCTTTTATCGGAAGGGGAAAAGAAAATTAATTTTTGTTGTCAAGGTAATAATTTATTTTTTCTCATTAGAAACTTTTTTTTTCTTAAAAACTTTTTAAATAAAAAAAAAGCCTATAATATTCTCCTTTAACATTTCTTTGAAGTCTAATAATTAAAAATCGAAAAGAAATTTTTTTAAAGGAGAAAGTTAATAAAAATTAGCAACAAAATAGAAAGAATATAAATACAAATTATAATGAGGAAGAATTTTAAATAAAAATTTTTGGAAATAAAATTAAGTACAAATTAATTTTATTTAAGGTACTATTACGTGGGCAATTGCAAAGAAAACCTTTTACATTATAATTAGGTTTCAAAAATTAATTTTTTTTAAATTACTATTGAATGTTTAAATAAATCTTTGGAAAATAATTTAAAAACTTCTCCTTATACTCTAAAAAAAGAAAAAAAGAAAAATAACTGGAATTACCTAATAGTTTTTACAAACAAAATTACAAAACTTTTTTTAAATTTTAATTGTTAAAAATTAATTTGGAATATGTAAATAATTTGTTTAATTTACATATATTAAGCTTTAATTCGGTTAACAAAAATAGAAATGGAGTTTGTAGATTTTCTGTCATATTTTTAAATTAATTAGATAAATATATATTAATATAATAATTACAAGTATTATAAATATAGTAATTAAATAAATTTATTTATATTCTAAATTAGAGTTGCACCCCGCCCGATTTTACCCGAACCCAGCCCCGAAACAATTCGAAAACCACGTACCGCAAAATACCCGCCTCCGAGCGTTCGGGGTGCAACCCTATTTTAATGCTTCCTTTTTTGAATTTTCTTTCGTATCAAGAATAGACAATCTTCATTCCCAAGTATGTATTATACGTGAATTTTTGTATACTTTTTCAACTATTTCAAGTCAAGCCGAGACAATATTTATAAATTTTTAGATGATTATAAAAATAATTTATTCGAATAAAAAATAAATTTATTGAAAAATTGAAATAATTTTTTTTATAAAACATAAATTTTAATTAAATTATTTTATATTTGAATAAATTATTTTTATAAAAATTTATTATATTTAGGTATATGTAGTATATAAAAATGTATCCAAAAAATATTTAAATCCGTCCACAATTAGCAGAATTATTAAATAAATTTTCTTTTTGTTGGTTCTCATTATTTTGTTTTAAATTAAAAGCCATAGCTAAAATCTTTAATTGTTCTACACGTTTCATTGTAGCACCAAAAGCTTTACATCCATACAAAAGTAAACTAAAAGCTGTAGCCAACTGAAAATAAAAACAAAATTTACTATTTTTGTACAAAAATTATTTTTTTAAACTAGCCTGCATTAAAGCCAAAACAGCTAATCCAATGTCTACTTCAACGGGCTCTTTTGTACTTGTTAGGCTAATATGTGATTTATTGTTTGTTGAAAGTAAGGGAACAAGAGGAAGAATGCCTTTTTAAAGAAAATAATTTCTTTAAATTATATATGTAAAATACCCGAAAGGAACGGCACAAAAATAAATACAACATTAAGTGCACATAACAAAAAAGTAGCAACAAACATTGAAAAACTTTTATTGTGGCTAGCAAAAAAGCCAACTAAACCATTACAAATAGCAGAAATTCCATAAAAAAGCTCTTGACCTTTAGCAAAATCTGCTCGCCAATAAAGACGAACACCTCCTAAACAAAATATTGCTGAACCAAAAACTATCTGAATAAATTTTAATTATATAAGAAATGCTAATTTAAATTAAATAAATATTTAACTAAAATTATTTCTTGACATCGAAATCAGCATTTCATACCTGACTTTTTGTCTTTAAACTGTTTTTTATCTAAATAATAATTGTAATTTCTAACTTTTGTGTTTGTAAATAACGTGTGGATACAAAAAAGTGTGAATATAAAGATAATAAAACTTACAGTTAACCAACTAGTTAAAGATATTGTACTCCATGGAATAGTTTCTGTCTCATGATCGGAAGACCAATTAATATCAAAATTATTTTCTATATTCGTTGGATTAACAAATCCACCGTTAGCATAGGGAAAGTGTGAAGGAGAAAAATTAATAGATGGATTTTTGGAATTAATTGAGCGTGAGACACTTCTAATAGGTGCCCGAAACTGAAAAAATAATTTTTTTAAAAATTATTTTTACAAAACACCTGTGAATGTATCTCTTCATGTCCCCCATATATTTGTTGATTTTTGTTGTTATAAACAATCTCGTCTATTATTTCAGGTTCAGGACGAGGCAAGGTTGTGTAAGATTGACAGCGAGATGGCATCATTTTATCTAAAAAATTGAATTTTGTTTGTAATTTTTTATTTGTTATATTTAAAACATATTGGTTTATGCAAAAAATTTCTTCAATTTTTCTCCAAAACTTACACATTCCCAAATCACTTCCAGGTCTAGAACCAATATGATTATTCTGAAAAGATGCTTCCGCTACTCCAACATCTTGTTGATGCATTTGAAGACCTCTGAGAGGTGTATTGCCATTATTACATTTTTGACGAACCATATTTGGTGGAGCATAAACTGTATAATAATAATTTCTATATCCAAAATTTAAGTATTTACTTGAATGCAAGAAGTTATCTGGAGGTGATCGGATTTGTTTTTGAGGACTAGGTCTAATCGTAGTTCCATACAAGGATGCTTTTGTATTTAATCCAGGCGTAGGATCTTTTACGGGCACAAAACCATATATTTGTTGTGGTTGTTTATTAACAGAATGTTCATGCTAAAATTATTTATTTTAATTATTAAATGTCACCAAAGTATCAGAAAATACCTCAACTCGTGATCGCCAAATAGGATTAATATTTTGATTTCGTATTGGTTGGAATTCACGACTAAATGCCGAACCAGGCCTTTTTTGCTGTTTTTCGCCTTCTTCTACTAATTCTACTTTCTTCTCTTTATCCGTTTTTTGGCCCATATTTTATTTTTTAAATAAATTTTAATGAAAAGATATGATTTTAAAAATCCAATTAAATTAATCAAATTGGCGAGAAAACTAAATTCCGTTGATACATATGATAGTAATATATAAAATTGTCATTTAGAGGACATTTGTAAAAGAAAAATTAAAGACACTGTGTCTAATATTTAGTTAAGAGGAATGAGAGCGAGAATATCTGTTGGGTGAATCCCGAAGACAAACCCCAACCCATTCTTTGACTAAAAGAGGAAGTACATATTAGCGATAATTTCATCTAAACCCCTCATACTTCCGCAAAAGAATAGCAAGCAAGATGACCCAGATATTAAGGGAGAAAGTGTTACAGATGAAAAACGCGCGAAGTCAACAAAGTGCGGTAGTGATATTTGTTTAGGAGATGGATAAAGAATTTATGTATTTTAAAATCAAAAATGACATTTTGGAATTTATTGGCATCATTTTTAGAATTATTCTTAAAGGTCAAATAAACTAAAAAAATTACTCTAAAACTGTTTAAAATTTGTTTTATTTTCAACAAAATATTTCTCACAATCAAATAGAAATCTGAATATAAAATAATTTGAATATTAAAAATATTTTGTATAACGTAAATTTTCTCACTCATCTGCAATCTAGTTTCTCGAAATGCCTTCGCGCATTCCGAATGTTCCTACAAATAAAAAAATCCATTATTAAAATATTTGCAAAAGATTTTCAGTGAAGATTAACCAACAAAAGGGGAATTAAATAATTTCCTTTGGTATTTATATTAAAATAATTCCAAAATTCAATTAATAGACTGTCCTTTAAATCAATACCAAATAGGAATTTAATAAATAAAAACAATTTACATCATTACAGCCGCAGATGAAACATTTCCATCCGAAAGTACCAACATAATGTAACTAAAAATAAGTCAAGTTTTCGATTTTTATGATAAATTTAGTGATACGTATTATTGGTGAAAGAGTCAATAAATGCAGCAAATGTGCTATTACGTATCTAAAACAAGAAATATTTAAAAAAATTAATATTAATTATTAAAATAGTAAAGATACTTGGATTGTCTCAAATTGTGAACCCATACGGCTAAAATTAAAACAATTAAATTTTAAAGTAAAAAAATCAAATACCTGCAAGACAATTTAAATTGTTTAATAATGTTGGAAACTTTTTCAAATCTATGAATATCATCATGTAGAACTCTCTGCGCCTGGGCAATTACCAAAAATGTGGCCTTTTCAAACAATAATACCTTTAAATAAGAATTTATTAGAATTTAGCTTAAACCAAAAAAATAAAATTTTTTCAAAACCCAAAATGGTAGATAATTAGGCAGGTCCGATCCAAATAAAATAAGCGAAAAATTCTGGCAGAGCAGAAATAATTTTTAAAAGTTTTTAACCATAAATTTAATCAACTTCAAAACTTACTTCATCAGCATCAACAATTTCTGTGAATTTTTTCAATTTTTGTTCCATTGAAGTGATCTACAAAATAAAAAAATGAAAATTTTAAATTTATTTACATTTGGTATAAGTTGATAAACAATTGCAGACCAAGCTTTATATAAAGTTTCATCCCAAATAGAAGAACGGAAACATTGAATTGTGACTGTCGATGTTTGTTGTCTACAAGTAATATTGTCTGACAATTGTTTAATATCCTTTTCCTTGTCTTGGAAAACCTGAGAACAAAATAATTTAAAAATCAACAAAATAAAAACTTTTTCTCTCATTTCTTCCTGAATTAGATCCATTTTATGAACAAGGCAAAAAACTTTGGCAGCAGGCGAATTTTGTAATAAAGCCTCCAAACAGGACTGATAGTTTCCATAGTCTTTATCAACTTCTCTACTTTCAACATCAAAAACATAAATAAGTACCTAATTTTTGATTTGGATTATAAAAATCGGCAATTCTAATAAAAAAAGAACCTGAACGTTTTTAAAGATTTGGTCACGCTGTGCCGTCATATAATTTTCCATAAAAATCTCCTGACCTCCGCAGTCCCACAAATGTAAAACCATATTCCCAAGAAACCTAAATATTTTAAAATAATCTAAAAAATTTCATAAACGCGATTACTTGACATGCGCATGCTCAACCTCCATCGTAGCTAAAAAGAAAATTAATAAAATAAAAACAGACTCCTTACGTCCAAGTCGGCTTGTATCCCTTGCAATATAATTAGCAAATATGATCGATCTCATACTCGTTTTACCAGCTCCAGCCTTTCCCATAAGCAAAACTTTCCTCTTAGACATCCTCGTAAAAAGAGCAGAATTAAAAATATTTCAAATATAAAATTTAAAAAATATTTCACACTGTTCAAACAAGAATATAAAAATAATCAACTAAATTAAATATTAAATTAATGAATTATAGCAAAATCAAAGTGAAATAAACGAAAACAACATTTTTGAACAATATTAAGTCATTCAGATTCATGTCATGTATTTTTATTTATAATAACCATCAAATAATTTTACGGAGTAGATTGATCTGTCTGATCTAAAATCAACAATTTATTACCCAAAAATTAATTTCCTTACCTATGTTTTCAATTTCTTTGTTCGTTGGAGACGGCTGACTCGGCCTGTCAACTCCTAAAGCCTCTCCCCTCCTTTCTTCTTCATCCACAATTAAATGAGTAATCTTAATTTAAGTTTTATTTGTCATATTTAAAGATTGTATGCTCAACCTGTGGATCGATATTTATATTTGGAAGAGTTAAAACATTATCATTGGGCAACTCGTCAACTTCAATAAAATTGCTTGTTCTGCCACTGACTGATATGGAATTAATTTTCTCTGAACGATTCTGGTCAATAAATGACTGGACAGAACTTGTACAAAAATCATGCCATTTTTCGTAAACAGGTGATTCTATAAAAAGATTAACAAATAAAAAGTTAAATATTCACCTTTAATCATTTCGTCTATATAGTCCGCTACTGGAGAATTTTGTTGAGATAACAACAAACGATTGGCAAGAAAAAGGAATAAACTACGCTTAGAAATGGAGAAGAGTTTATTTGAATAAATATTATTGTCGCTCGATAAACTAAAATCATCTCCCCACAATGAGTCAGGTAGAGCATTCAAGATAAAGGCAGGTAAATTGAAGTCCTAAATTTTTTGACAATTTTTTTCTTTAACTACTTCCTTTAACAAAATAATTCAAGTACCTTTATGAGAAAGTCAATAAGAGGTTGTTGTGTTGTTCCAGTATTTGAATAAAGAATATGTAGAATGAAAGTTACAAATTGTGTATTAAAAATTGAGCGGCAAGGATTTACTTCAATTTGTTCACAGAAACTATTGAACGAGGTTTCAGGAATTAAGAAAGCCCTGAGCAGTTCGAAATGAGTCGGAAGAAAATTTGTATTTGTTAAATTAATTAACAATTGCATACAATTGTGAACAAAATCGTCGCAAAAATCATCAATCATTACATCCTAAATATTCTTGTTTTAAAGGAATAAAATAAATTTACCTCCGATTCCTTAGAATCAGCTGGAACAATTATTCTATTTGAGTCATTGTGCCGAATATAGATTTTTGGATTTCTAACAGGATCAAGACCATATAATATTAGACTTATTATACTAGATGCATATTCAGCACAGCGAGTTTCCACAATTCGTTTTGGATCCATCAAGATTTGCCCAGTTGAGGATGTCGAATTATCCGTACTATTAAATGAACAATTCTGATATCCATCAAGTAAAGAATTGTTATTGACGCTTGAAGCACCCTACAAAAAGAAAAAAGGTCAATTCAAAAGAAAAGCGACAAAAACACCTGAAGTTCTTGCGCCAGAATAGAACTAGGAGAATTCCTTATTTGATTCGTTTCTAAAAGAACATTTAAAACCAAAGCTCCATTCGAAATAATCTAAGGATTTTTTTAAATAGAATAAATAATTAAATTAATATCAAACCGATGCTGAGAATTTACCTCCATCAACTGGAAACATCATTGAAAGTAATTTAGTCACAATCTCCTCAGATTGTATAGCTTCAAGGAGAGGGTCTAAAAATTGCTAAATGAATAGAATATTAAAAATATAAACCAAAAGTCTGTTCAACATTATACTGGACTTCGCGTAATGCTCTAATAAATTCTACCCATAAAGCAGCTCCATTTTCATGAACATATGATGGTTGTTCAGCAGAAAGAAGCCATAAAAGCTTTTGAGGAAAACCTTTATCGACATACCACTAAACAGGAAAAAATTAAAAAATCAATTAAAAATATGTAAAAGCTAACCCTTTTAATTCTATCGCGGATAGACGGATCGGGTGTACAATTCATAAAAGTACAAAGAAGTTCAAAAAGAGAGCAAAACTTCAGACCATTCATACAACTCTCAATAAAATTACTTTTCTCAAGTATATCTAAAAACTTCTCTGGCTCAGTAGAAAGAAAACAAACGACCACACGGCTATAAAAGCTGAACAAAGAAGATAAGGAACACTATTTTAACTTGTGAAAAATATTAAAAACCTGGCAACTAATGGATTAAGGCGTGCATGATTATTGTCCAAAAAGCCTGCAAGCTCTTCGAGTAGCTGAGGGTATTTTTCAAATTCAGGATAAAATTCCCTAGCTCCGACACACAAAGCCTCACAGCATTGAGAGATAACTCTAATAAAGTGAATGATGAACATCAGCAAATGTAACATACCTATATTCGCTTTTTACAAGCTGCTCATCGGCCTCCTCATCAACTGGAGTGATTATCGCCATAATAAGTTTTCGAAGATTATCTTCTTGTTTGAGACTAGAATAAAAAATACAGCTTCAATTTAAAAGCGAATTCAATAACATAAATTTTCTGCAAATTTAAATTACTTACAAGTCCATTAGCTGTCCGTTTGAATTTCTTATTTCTTGAAGGCAATGAACATCATTGAGAATAGATTCCAATTTTGGATTTTCAGAGTTTAACTTGACATCGATCTCTCGCTCCTCTATCGCCATTGTACTCCAGAACATTTTGGTAATTTAAATATTTGTACTTAGAAAGTAATTAAACAATTTAAAAAAGATGAGAAATAATAGAAGAAAAAAACAAATGCAGAAATTTAAATAAAAAAAAAATAAAAATTTATTAAATAATGCACAAAAATATTGAAAAACTTAAAATCAAATAAGATCGAATTTAAGAGTGAAACCGCCAATAGATTTGCGTGGTGCCGAAGGTTCATTTGGTGGTCTTTTATTGTGTTCACTCTTTGCAGGCCACTGTAAAATAAAGAAATTATACTCATTTTCGATAATTTGTCAACAATATCAAAAACAAACATTAAAAACATACCGTTGGGAAGGAAGAGGGTGGCAAAGGCTTTGGATTGTTTTGAAACCATTTGCTTTTCAGTGCTTGCTTAGCCGATAACCTTTTAGATGGATCCAAAGTTAATAATCTTAAAATAAAAGGAAACTAACATTAAATAAATAACAAGCCTTACTTAATTAACAATTGATAACCATCATCATCAGGCAATGCTGAACTGAATTTGCGATGTAATTGATTAAAAGGGGTATCAACAAAAACTCCATTCCTCATTCCTGGCAATTCCATACATCCTGGCCATGTTTGTTCATTTGGAGTTCCTATGTCCTAAAATAATCGAAATTTATAAAAATCGGAAAAATCAATACTCTGAAAATTCTTTGAATTTGGTCAATTTCTGTCCTTCCAGGAAATAAAGGCTCCAACTTCAAGAACTCACCAAAAATACACCCAACAGACCACATATCAACGGGAGTAGAATAAAACTAAAATAATTTTTTAGAATAATAAATAAAAATTTTACTTCAGTTCCAAGAAGTAATTCAGGAGATCTGACATATAAAATTAATTATTAAAAATTTTTATTAAAAAGTTACCTATACCAAAGAGTAACAACAATTGGAGTGTAAGACTTTAATGGTTCCCCAAATTCACGCGCTAAACCAAAATCGCCAATCTGATTAAAAAAGTTAGATTAGAAAAACTTTCACCTTTAATAAAATAACCTTTAAAATACCGAGATGTGAAAGTAGAAGATTGGAAGTTTTCAGATCCCGATGAATTACATATTCTTAAAAAATAAGTAAAATCAAAAAAGAAAACAAACTTTCATGCATATGTTCTATTCCAGAGAGAAGTTGATGCATTAGGGTCTTAACCTGAGCTAAAAAATTAACAATAAGTGATTTGAATATTGAATTTAATTTTCAAAAGGGTTAGAGATATTTGCAAATATTCAATTCAGTCATTTTTGGATATCTGATTTCAGAAGAACTAAGTTCAGAAATTTAAATTAAAAACTAATAAGAAAAAAACTAACGAATTGTCCATTTTTTCTTGCGAGATTCCATCAATTCCATTAAAGACTTAATGTCATGTTCAATATATTCCATTACTAGATAGATTTTATCCATACTTGAGCCAACAACAACCTCACTAACATTCAAAACATTTGGATGATTGCCACATTTAAGAAGCATATTAATTTCACGGAGGGAAGTGATCGGAAAACCTTGATGCTCCTTTTCCATTTTTAATCGTTTTAAAGCCACAATTTTATCTAAAAATTGAAAAAAATAAACGAAAATAAAAAAAAGAACCCGTTCTCTTTTCTTTGGCACGATAAACAACACCAAATGTCCCTTCAGAAATTTTATTAAGGCATTCAAATTCCACTACGCTTCTACATCCAGAAATGCCAGGATAATAAACAGGTAATTGTTCAATCAAATGCTGTTGATATAATTCTTCCATATGTCTCAACCTTTCTTCAGGCAACTAAAATTTAAATTTTTAATAAACATTTATCTAACCAATTGCTGCAACTTGCTAACAGAATAATATAATAATTAAATTTATTTCAATATAAATACAAACCAAAGACTTAACCTCATTATTATTATGTGCACCATTATCAGAATTGATACCAAAATATCCACTATTTGTGTATTTCTCTTCACAAATTGGTTCATCTAAAAAGTAAAAACATGAAGAATTTTTTAGATTAAATTTTGACCTTCTGGATGGTCATTTGCTATTTTAGGCGAACTTATTCCTAAGCCATCACCATCATCAGGAAGATTGGAAACATCATCATCAAGTGGGGGTGAAAATGGCACTATTCTATAATAAGGAGCATCATCAGCCATGCTTCGAAATTCTTTAACAGAGCTTAAGTTAAAAAAACATGAAAAATCTGAGGGAATAAGCAAAAAACTTGCAACAAAAAGGGCTGAACCCTCCGAAAATTTAGAACTAGCCAGTTGAGCGCCGAGTCAGTATCGCTGATTCAGTATATGGTCATAACTCTCTCTCTTGATTTTTATGCCTGTGACATAAAAACTTTTTGTTAAATGCTCAAATCAGTTTAATGAAAAAGTTGAAGCATCTTGAGATCTTTCGAATTTTTTGAAATATTAATAGAACAAAAAGTCGAACAAAAATTTATGTATCATCTAAAAACCAATACGCTGAATCTGCGATACTAATTGACAATTACCCTATCAGATTAAGCGCCATCATTCTTTCAAGTTTAAGTCTTTTACGAAATTATTTAAAAAGTTGGGAGCAACTGGATTGTTTGTTGGAAAGTTTACTTTGTAAGTATTTTGTTTATTTGATACAATATTCAAATAGTCTGAAATTGAGGATGGAAGGTGGGTATAAAATTCAAAATTCCCGTATTCCCTACTTAGCTTGTGAAGTCGAACTTTCATCTTTTTCATTTTTCTCGAGAATTTTTAAAGATTACTTATTGTTAGCCAAAAGATGTTAATACATTCTTTAGAATTTTCTTGTTTATCTTATCCATTTTTATGCATATCATCTTTTTTTGTGTTTGTATGTTCCATTTTCTATTTTAATAGAGCACTCTGGTTTATGGAAGAAAAAATGTTAATAAATTACCTAGTACATAAAATATGTAAATTTATTTTTTATTTTAGTAAAATAATTACAATTTGATATCACTAAAAAATAAAATAATTTTATTCAAAAAATATAACAAAATTTTTAAAAAATTAAAAAAAAACATAAATATTATAAGAATGCATAATAAAAATGTTTACTGTTTAATTTCCATTATTATATTTCACTCACAATTTCAAAAAATAGATTGTGAACAAAAGAGAGATAAACGATCTAACAACATTCATTTTATTGTTAAACATGGTTTGCCGTTAATTTTTTTCAAGATTAAATTTTAATATTCCTTCCAATCTCTATTTTATTTTCTTAAAATAATTTTCAAAATTTAAAGCTTTAATTGAATGTAAAATTCCTTCAAATTGCCAACAAAATATTCATTCTGCTTTAATTAATTATAAACAAATTCCACTCTGCAAGGATTTTGATTATTTTGAATTACTTAAATGTTTAGATAACGGTAAATAAAAAATAATTTAAATAAAATAAATAAATATTTTTAAAAGAAATATTGCCTAGAACAAATTTAACAAATTTAAATTCAAAATCTGGCCATGTTTGTTGTAATATTGATGCGGCAAGTTTAACTTGTCAAATGGCTTGTAAATCGGCACTTTTTGCGCCAACTCTTAGTCACGAACAGAAAAAGAATCGAATCGAAATGCTTTGCCATAAAGAGCACGGAAATGAATTTCAAGGAGATAAAGTTGCTAGAAATTAATTAATTAAATATAAATGTTTTTAGGGCTTGTTAAATTGCTTAGCCACATCGAATGAGTGGATGTCACAACGATCTTGATCAGAAATAAATTTCGATTTTAAATATTTTATTTTAAATTTTTTTTCAAAATTAAAAATAAGATCATTTTTACATTTACATTTAGAACACACGTTTACATCCTAACAAACAAATTACCATGGTGAATAATCTTTTCTAATCTTTCCATTTGACTTTATAAATGCAAATAAATTCTTATAGAGAAATTTATTGATAGTATATGCTTCTTTAAGTTAGGTTAAAAGGGGGGGATATAAAATTGTTTATATTATATTTTTTAAGGTTTCCTTTAAATCCAAATTTATTATTTTTCATTTCTTCATCTTGTACAATACCTATGAATTTTTAATAATCTTAAAATTGACGATATCTTTATTTGATATAAAATAATTAAAATATATTTTAACCAAAAAACAACCATTTTATATTTTAAATATTCTTTAAAAATATTTTTTAAATTTTCTTTCCCTTCTCCATAACAGAGAAATTCCCGGACTGATGAATTTCTCCAATTGCCTTTGTTTGTGAAAATTGATAGTAGTTGTCTAGTAGTGCCATCCATTTATTCTCCCATGTGAGAGAAATTTAAAATAATTGTTGAGGGAATTGTTAACAGATTGAAAATGAGTTCCTTTTATTTATTGAAATTGAAAAGAAAAAACTTTTTTGGTTCTATCAAATTAAAAATGTTGTTCATTTTTAAATATTTACAATTTTGAATTTCAATTAATTAATTACCCAAAAAATTGACAAAATTGTTCCAAAGAAATACAAGTTTCTTTTTATCCCTCTTCTCTACATCCATTTATTAGCATAATTTATTTTAAATAACTTTAAATAATATTAGTTGTGAATGGATAAAACATTGCCTATTATTCTTTTCAATTTTATTTAAAATAAATTACATATTTACATACATCGTAAAAATTCCAAAAAAATTTTAGTTATATATTGAGGAAATCTTAAATAGATATAAATATTCGAGGACATATCTGCAAAATTTCTGTGTTTTATTTATATATGAGTAATATTAATATATAATTTTTAATCGAGTATCCCCTAAACATCAAAAATTAGTGTTTATTTTAGTTCCTCTTTATTTTATTATCAATTTCTTCCTTCTTTTCAGAGCAAAAAGTAAAGCAACATAAAATCTTCAGTTCAAAACAAACAAACTTTTTATTTAGTTAAGAATTATTTTTCACTAAAATCATTCATTTATTTTGAAATATTTCTTTAAAGAAACAAAAACAATGTTTCGTCTAGATCGCCGAATTCGGTCAGCATCTTCAAGAATACGAAAACTTGAAAATTCTGCTGAAGCTGCACTCATTAAAGCTCAACAAACAGCTGCTCGTTCTTTAAGTTTACGCAGCAGATCTTCACGTCAACAACAAGATTCACAGAAGAGACATTCAAGTACACTTATGGAGTTTTTGGATCTCTCCCCTCGTAAAAATACTACAAATGGAGAGAATTCTAGATTTACTCCACCATGGAAAAGGAAACAAAATTTAGGCGAAGGTTCTAGTAGAGAGGTAATAAAAATATTAAATTATGTAATCATACTAAATGTAATCTAGGTACATACATATATCTATTATATACCTACGAATTCGTTTTTATTTTCCTTCATCCTAATAAGTTAACCAATTTTCCTGTTTCACAATATTTTCCTTTCTTGCATAAGGCAAACTATAAGAAGATTCTATAAGAATAAAGTGAATTGGTGTCATCGCCAGCTTCAGCAATTAGGTGCAGTTTGCTCTACTCACCCACAGCTATCGTACACATGCACAATACGAGATCATAGGCACAATACGAGATCACAATACGAGATCACGCACAATATGAGATTCGGTTCACAAAATAATTTTCTTTGTATGTATTTAGTTGTAACATAATTGTTGTAAATTTGTAATTTGTAGTGTCATTATACATATTGCTTGAGGAAAACAAGTGATTGGATTTTTAAATTATTAATTTTTAAATTATCTTACATCTCTTACTCTCCTTATGTAACATATAAAAATAAAATCAAAAACATAATTAGCAAGGTAATCCTGTAGTATTCTAAAATTTAGTCAAGTACTGTAAGTAAGTTTTGGATTAATTTAAGAATTAGTAAATTTGAAAAATTAATAAAATAAAATAATGTAACTAACATTTATTTGGTTTTAAATTTGACTCACAAAAAAGCTCTTAAACTTTTTTTTACCCCTTTATGTTAAAGGATATGTAATGACTAATTGTAAGAAACAATGCTTAAAAATATATTTTGAATGTTTTTCAATTCTTTTTATCAGTGAAAGCACTCAAAAATTATTGCATTAGGAATCTTATATTTTATTTATGATTCATCATTATAATTTTTATACATGATATTATAAATAAAAATAAAATTCATGCAGTGTTATCTAAACGAATAAAAAAATTTCTGCATAATTTTATTCATTTCTCATTTTCTCGTCTGTTAGTAAGTGTGTATTGACTATTTCGTTCGATTTTATATTTTTTATTGTTTAAAACTATTTTAACAGTTTTTGTTTTTTATTGTTTTTTTTTCTTTTAAAAGATTTTAACATCCTCCCTTTCTAACAATGAACGTTCCTAATTTTTGTTTCTTCTTCCTTTTATATATTTTTTGCTCTATCTTTTTTTCTCTTTTTTCTTTTACTTTTTTCATTGCCGTTTCCAAAATACACAATTTATTGAATTTAAGATTAAGTAGGGGAAAAAAAGAAAAAGCATACATTTCTTTTTTTTTTAACTTGAATATTTTTAAAGTTACATTTTTGTTAGAAAAAAGTTTAAAAAATTTAAAGATTATTTTTAAAAATTAATTTTTTAGATGAATTATGTAGAAGTTCAAAACACTGATACTTTAGAAGGTATTGCTGCTGCTCATGACTGCACTGTGGTTTGTTTGTATTTATTTTTTTTAATTTTAAATTTAAAATATTTTTTAGGGATTTCTTGTAAAATTAAATAAATTAACTTCGAGAATGGTAAATAAATTATTTATTTAATAATTATTTTTTAAAATTATTTTAAGGTTTTTCCTGGTCAAAAACTTCTTGTTCCTTCATTCGATGAGACACAGACAGTCTCTTCTAGTGAAAAATTGGAAAACAAATTAATTAAGGAAAAAAGTTCAGGTTTAATTATTATAGTAAATTTTAATAAAAAATAAAAAAAATTTTTTTAGGAATTCACAGAGGTCCAGGTCATGCAGTTCCCATCCCGCCTAATGAAATTCCCTTGCGGAGTGTTCTTTCTAATACCTATAAATCTTATCGGTATTTTTTATTTAATTTTTAGAAACAATTTATTAAACAGCCATTCTACAACTATTTCTCAACCTCAAAATATCTCATCTAAAGACGATAATGAACCTGAATTTGGCCGAAGTGCTTCTGAATTAGATCCAGAAGATCAGGATTGTTTGCAACGCTTTATGAAAATTAAAGTTTTTTTGTTTTCATTTTTTCTCATTTTTAATTCTAAATAGGTAAAACAAATAACGGAATCTGACGGGACTATAGTTGGCACTTTACTTGTTACTCCAAACTGTTTAATGTTTGACCCAGATGTTGATCATCCTTTGGTTCAAGAAAAAGGTTCTGACCTTTATGGAATGGTTGCAAAGTATTTATTTTTAATTTTATTTTTAAATTTTTTTATTTAATCTTTAGTATGGAAAGCATTATTTCTGTAACTGTTTACAAACATATTAGTTCGTTGACTGGAGAAAAGCAGAATAAAGAAGAGGATATTTTTGACCCAGAAAAAGTGGCTTCAACTCCAAGTATTTTATTTTAAAATAAAAAGTTTTGGTTTTATCATACTTAAAAGAATTCTTTTTTGACGTTAAATTATTGTTAGACAAGCTATATACGCTTGTTTTTAATTGAATCCCTTAATATTATTCCAAAATTTAATATTGAAATATCTGTAATATTTATAGTTTTTTAATTCTTATAGGAATGTCGATTGCTGGCAGTAGGCAGGGAAGTCCATCATCAATTAGCAAGAATCAGAGAATATCGTCCCTTGACAAAAGTGAGCATAATAAAGGTTTTTGTATTTTAATAAAATTAGGCACAAAAACTGATTTAAATGAAGAAGAGAGGCTTGATGCAAGTTTTGAAGGCGATCAAACAATCGTTTATGGAACATCAGCTGGCACTCTTTTGCCTGGTTCGTATACCTCAAATGCTTCTTCAGATGGAGAATCTTCCAATATCTCTAATTCTGAACTACTTCCTTGTATTGATGAAGAAAGGGAGATACAACAAAGAAATGAAGCTATTGAAAGAGAGAAGAGACCGCACGGTGAAAAACAATCAACTTCAGTTGGTAATATTTTGCGATTTGATATTTACATTGGATTCCTAAGACCCGTTGAGTGTATGTTAATGAATAGTTTTGGATTTCGGCTCCCGGACAATGCGTCAGTGGACAATGCGTGAGTGGAAAATGCGTCAGTGGACAATCGGTCAGTATTGATATAAAGTGATTAAAAGTGATGATATGAAGAATTAAAAATCGACTTATATCCCTTCAAATCGATCGATCTCCATCTTAGCCCAACGAAATAACTTTATATCTCTGTTACTCCTGCCAAACCCGAGATATCAGCCTTAATCCCAACAAATCCCTCTATATCTCTTTTAATCCCCCAGAATCTCTTGTTAAATGCTCCTAATCTCTTTATATCTCATCTTTAGTCTTTTTATATCATTTTTTATCTCTTTATATCATCACTTTTAATCACCTTATATCATCACTGACCGATTGTCCACTGACGCATTTTCCACTCACGCATTGTCCACTGACGCATTGTCCGGACACGTGGATTTCTTATTTAAATCAAAAGTATTTTAAAATACTTTTTTGTATTTAAATGTTGATTTCTTTTAATTTTCATTTTGTACAATTCTTAGAAAAATCTTTTCGGGCCGCCAATGATAAATAAGTTTATTATTAATAAATAATTTTTTGAAGAATCTGACGGTGGAACTAGACAATATGAAAAGCGGTTAAGTGAAGGAGCACAAGCGATTACATTTTTGGATTTAGACGAAGATAACGATCAAAGTGGCCAACCCCTTATTAATCAGATGGATTCACTTGATATCTCTAAAAGTGGTGAACAGTCACAACGTCGAAGTCCATTACCATTTTCTCGATATTCGCCTGGAATGGCTAGGAAATCTTTTGGAAAGCTTGGAAGGACTTTAAGGTATTTACATATTTGATTTTAAAATTAATTTTAATTTATTTTTAGTGCAAAAGCAACCAGCTTTAAGGGGTCAGTACAGTCAGTTGCTTCCGGAACGCAAAAGGTTGATTGTTTTTAAACTCTTTTCCAAGTTAAATAAAACCTTTTTAGGTCGCCCATGGAGTCGTATCTCACACACTTTCTGCAGCTGACCACATCCAGGCCGGTATTCAATCTAGTGCCAAAGTTGTTGCTTCTGTCCCTGGTTCTATTATGAATATAAGTTCTGGTTTGATCCAGGAAGGTCAAAATGGTGTAATGGAAGTTGTTGAATCTGTAAAGGATGTATTGTCAAATGAAGTAAATATTTTTAGAATTTTTTAAATAATATTTTGACATGTTACATAATAAATCCAAATTAAAATATTTTTAAGAGTAACGAACCACAACAGGAGCAGATTGACAAACAAACAATGAAACGTGAACGCAGTCTTGCTACCCTTGAATCACTTTATCAACGGACACAGCAGGCCAGAGAACAAGCTGCAATTCAACGTGCACTGGATACTGGGTAGTTATGCATAATTCTTAAAAGTAAATTATGTGGAAACTTAGATTTTACTGATTTGGGTCTTGATTCTGTATTTTTACTATTCTCTGCCCTAACATAAGTTAGAAATTGATTTTGTATTTAAAATTTTTGAGTAAAGAACAACACATTTAAAGTTTTTTTATTATAAACATTTAATAAAAAAACATAACAAATAGTAAATAATCGGTTTTAATTTTTCCTTTTAACTTTAAACACGTGGATTCTTTTAATAATTTCAAAATTACACTTCATATTTATTTGTTAGATTCGTCCTTGGATCAGAAGAACGCTCAGTATTTGAAAAGAAACAAAAATATAATGACATCACTAATAACAATGGCCAAAATGAGCGTAATTCAATCGACTCCCCTCCCGAACCACCATATTATATGACTGTGAGAGTGGATAGATCACGTCAACAAAGGAAGAAAAGTAAGTTTTATTGAGAATTTTATTACAAATTAATCTTTAAATTATGGGATTAAATAATATTCATGCTCATAATTTTACATTTTTTAATTTATTGGCCTTTTATAAAATCATTTTTGATTTTTGTCAGACTTGAACGAAACTTTCCTTATTTCGTGAACTTTTAGTATTTTACCTACAAACCTAAATTGAAATTTCATTTTATAACAAATTATTTTTTGACTCATATCATTTTTAACATTTTCTTTATATTTTTTGTTTTATTTTTCTAATCACATTATCTCTCCATGTCTAGCTCTTTCCTCCAAAATAGTTTCATCAAATTGCAAATCCAACTCTTTTATTAAAACACAAATAGATTTTACACATTTTAATTGTCATTAAAAACATCAGATGATAGAATAGGATTTATTTTAGACTGAAAAATCTAAACAAAGTGCTCATCTTTCTATTCATTTTGTACACTATGTTTTTATTTTATTTTAACGAATTTAGTCTGTGTGATATCATATTTTCTAATTATAGTTATTTTAAAATTTTTTTTGACAATTATTTTTCTAAATTTTTAATTTGTATTATTTTTAAATTTAGCACAATTATCACGTCGAAATTCGAAAGAAATTGTTGATTCTACAGGTGCCTCATTATCTGCAGCAGATTTTTTTGAAAGTGGTTGTTTATTTGGTAATAAACGAAAAAGGGAATTTTGGTTTGCTGTGCCAAGAAGTCGTGTTGATGCTATTTATCATTTCCTGCTACAGTGGTTAATTTTTAAAAAAATAATTTGAAAATTATTTTTTATTTTTTAGGTCACCTCAGAAATACGGACAGGCTCGTTATTTATTTTAGAACTTGAAATTCATTTTATTAAAATCATTTTTAGGTAAAAGCAAGTTCTGCAGACGAGACAAACGTTGTTGATGAAAACACCCCCAATGAGATGATTTCAACTGGTGTAAACACAAAACAAGACTTTGGAGCATTTGTTGTTCTCGATCGAGACGTGGATGATGAAGCATTGACTGGTTGGTTTATAGTTATAAAATTTAAAAATATTGAAGAAAAAAAATATTTTTATTTTGTCTGAATTCCTAAAAAATATATTTAGAATATTTACTTTTGTCTGGATTGATATCTTTACATTCTCCTTATAATTTTTCTTCCCATTGTTATTTCTACACTTCACCCAACATTGTCTCCATTTATTATATTTTTTATAACAGCCATCAATCCACATTTTATTATTCTTTTCCCTTCTTCAACTGTCTGTAAACAGAAAGAAACCTTTTGTACTCGCGCACTTCTCTACTTTCACAACTTTCGTGACCGCCGAAATTGTTTTGCAAAAAGTGAGGTGGTTAACAAAAAGTATAAGAAAATGGTAAATCTTGGTGTGTAGCAGACCTTCGATATATTCCTTTTGTTTCGCGCAAACATTCATTCTTTTTTTTAAAAATTAGTCGCTATACTTCTTTTCATGATTTACCATTTTGCTTTTTAACAACCATTTAAATGGACAAAGCAAATTGTAGCAGAAAAAGGGGTTAAAAGTGCTACGTGACCGATTACGCATTTTTATAACATTTTGTGTAATTAGAATTGAAAGTTCCAGATCTCATCAATTAACATTTAAAAAAATTTTTTACACGTTAATTTGATAATCAATTAAATGTCTAAGCAATTTAGACATGACTGAGATTAACTAAAATTAATTTCTGTTAGTCTTTCTTTTATTTTTATGGGGTTAAAAAATTTCATTCTCAAAATAAGAGAGTTAAAAAAGCACTTTTATTTTTATAAGTTAACTTGCGCGGAAATTAAAAATCGCACTTTGTTGACCATATTATTTTTGAGCAAAGCAGTAAATGTTTACCTAACGGATTTCTTCACCCACGAGATTTCTTAACCACATCAATAAATGGATGAGTGATTTGTTCTATAAGCGGCCGCCCGGAATTTTATTTATGACAAGGCAAAGGTTGAATAATATAACTACGCAAAAGACGGCTGGCAATAAAACATGACAAACGACTTTATAATTTTATAAAACTAAAATTACACATAAAACAACACAGTAGTCAACAACTGCATTTCTCATTAATTATATAATAGGCCTCATTTCTTTTAATAGGCCAAAAAGTCGAGAGCATTGAACGCCTTTATTTATTTCAAATAAACTGCATAAATTTTAAATTAAATTGACCTTGAGAAACAAATTATTGAAAATTCTGCAATCAATACAACCAAATGGAAGTGTCAAATTCGGCTAGTAAGAAACGTTCACTCGATTCTTCTATACATATGCTGCTTAACGAAAATAAAAATAAAAGCCGCAAAGCATTTCAATCTAAAAGATGTGGGGGTTCTTTTGATAGAAAATTAACAACAGGAATTTTTGGGTCTAAATATTCAACGTCTTTTCATTCTGGAGGAAATAATAATGTCAATAGCAGCTTTCCTATTCCACCAGTATTTCCAAAAACATGCTCTCTTTTTGATTCCACCTTTAATGGAGGTGCTTTTACCGACCGCAATGAAGATAAAAAATTAATGGAGGCGCTTATGGATGTACGATTAAAATTGCAGAATATGAAGAAGAATGAACCTCGAAATGCGGAAAACAATAGCGAAACAACACTAGAAGAATTAGCTAATCTTTCTTCTGATAGCGGAAATTCTTCGATTTTTGTTGATTCTACACAAAGTACCTTAAATTCTAAAAATGAACTTTATTCTAAAACTTCATCTTTATTTAATTCCTCTTTGATTAAAGAAGATCCTTCCAACGTTAAAACTAAAGAGGACGGTTTTAATCCGATTTTAAAACGAAAAAGCGATTTGACGGTTAATATTCCAAAGAGCGAAAGAATTCTTTTATTCAGACGCCGAACAAAATCTAAAAAAAGCTATCAGGAAGAAGAAAATGAAGGAACAAAACACTGGACAATCCATGGGGCTAACAATAAGTGGAGCACTCCTTGGAAGTACAAGCTGTTGAAAGCTTTTTCCACAAATGGGGTTAATATGGTTGCTGCTGATAGTGAAGGAAAAGGCAAGGGATATTGTTTTCTCAAAAAAGAGCTCCTTTCCATCTATCCTAGTTTAATGAAAATAATAGTTAGTTTATTATTCTTTACTTTTATCTTCACCTTTCTTATCTTCTCTGTATCCTTTTGATAAATATTCAATCTTTTAATATCCATACTTTAAAAATAAATTTGTTAGCTTATATCTCGATTTATATGAAAGATTTAGGTGAAAAGCCTTCCCATCACTTTGGAAAGTTGGACAGAGAATGGGAAGTCTGCGCTGTGCGTGAGATTTGTCGTCGTCTTTCATTAGAGGACTCTTTAGAGCCATCAGAGTTGCCGCTACCAGATGGTGATTAATAAACTTTTAAATAATATTTTACTTTAACCTATCAATGAATTTTTAAGAATTATTCTAAAAATGGAAATATTTAAAAAACTTTAACATTTTTCTTCAAAAATTTTTTTCTAATAAACAGGTGCACTTCAATCACAAGTGCTTGACGAATTTATGATTCGACAGGTGATTAATATGTTTACATATTTATATCTATTTTGTTTGTTATTAAAATAAAAACAAATGAAGTTTTTTGTTTATGATAATTTAGGCCAAATAAATCTAATGTTTTTTTTGTAATTTTATTATTTTTTAGATTGTAGATATTCTACCTCCTCGTGCTGAGGTAATTTTAATTTTTAAAATTTAATAATAGTATCCCTTTATTTTAATTATTTAGGGTTATCCTTGGGTGAATATATACAGTTCTGAAAAGCATGGATTCTCCTTAGCTACCCTTTACAGGTTTAAAAATGGAAATATAAATGTTTAAATTTGTAATTATTATTTTGTAGAAAAATGTCTGAATGGAAAGAAGAAATGTCTCCTGTTCTCTTGATCATTCGCGACGTTGTTGGCCACGTTTTTGGTGCAGTGTGCTCTACCGGTCTTTAAAGTTTTAATTGATAACAATATATTAAAGATAATTTTTAGTCGATTGATTAGTAATTGTTTTGCTATTTTAAGAGAAAATTAGTTTTAATTATAAAATTAAAAATTATTTTTCTCTTTAATAATTATTTTTATAAAAAACTTTTTTTAGCTTTACAACCATTAACTCCACCACATTATGTTGGAACCGGCGATTCATGTTTACTTTTTCGCTTTACAGGAGAGCACCCACACACTAGGTAATTGTTAATTTCGTTGAGTTAATATTTGCTTTCTTTTAGGGAGTTACGCACATTCCATTGGACTGGAGATAATCAATTTTTTGTTAATGCAACCAAAGATTTTTTGTCAATTGGAGCGGGCGGATTAAGCTCAATTACTAAGTGAGTTTGTGCTTACTAGAACTTTTCTGACACATACTTGAGAGTTTTATATTATTATTTTTTGTTTCTGTTCTTTAATCTTCTGTATCGGTTATGAATGCTTTCAAACTGTTAAGTAGGGAAAACTTTTTAAATAGTTGGAAACAAAAATGTAGCGTCCTTATTTTACTTTTTTAATAATTTATAGTTCTCGGTCGACATGCCCTACAGCTGCTGGTCTTTGGTTGGATGCTGATTTGGTTATTAATTTTTTATTTTTTAAAAATAAATTTCCTCTTAGAATAATGGAAGGTCACAAAATTGTGCAACATTTAACAATGAGCCTTTAGCTGGTGGTCTAGAAGGAGATTTTGTAATTCAATTTGTTGAGGCATTTGGTTTTAGCATGTCTTAAATAAACACAACGACCGTCCATTTTGTGCCGATTTGACTTATTTGCTCTAATTTAATTTTGAGGATATTTTAATTTCCAAAAAATATCCTTATTTTAATAGAATATTATATAATTTTATATTCCCATCTCCATTCCTTATTTTGACTATATTAATTATTAAATATCTACATACTTTCCTAAAATATATTTAAATATGTATATAATTATTTTCTTTTAATTATTATTTTGCATTGTGATTAATTTATGATAGTCAAAAATATATGTGACGATGCTTTGGAAAGTGAATAAAATCGCAATATTTTTAAAAATAGGAGGAGAAGCATTTACTTTTTGCTTTATTTATTTTAAATAAATTAAAAGAATTAATCTTTTAGGATATTTATATCTTATAAATTCTGGCATAACCTTTATAAAATTAGGCACTTATAATAGGTACAGAATTTATCCCAGCACTAATTTCCTAAAAACAATTTTTTAGGTTCCGATTAGTTGTGCCTAATAAAGTGTATTTACAATTTATTAAATTAAATATTTAATCCATATTGAAATTAATAAAATTATAACAAATCTGGAACTTGACACAAAAAAATTTTTTTTGTTCCTATCGTCGTTTTACTTAAAAGAAATTTTGGGAAATTATGAGCAATTTAATGGGTGTAAAATATAAAAATTGGAAAAAAGGCTAATTAATTTATATAATTTAAAATCTATTTAACTAATTAAGTTTATTTAAATAATGAACAGTTGAATTTTGAATTTGTTATTTTTTGATTTTTTAGAAAAAATTAATATTTTAGTAATCTTTACAAGGATTGAACAAAATCAAAATTTAACTGTAATATTTTATATATTAACCAGTATTTATTAGAAAACGATAGAGTTGCGAATCAAAACAAAAAATAAATAAAAATTAGAAACCAAAACAGATTGCACCGGGGGTTATTTAGAAATTAAGTGTTAAAAATAATTAATATTTAGAAGAAGAATAAAGTGTTAAAAACCCTTAAAGAATCTATTTAAAAATGTATTTTGTACTTTAAAAAAATATATTCAACATTTCCTTATCTCTCTTTCTTTATAATAATCCAAATCCTGATTGTAAAATATTAAAAGCTGATTGAATTTGTAATTGTTGTTGTTGTTGCTCATTATTTTCTGAAATATTTGAAGAAGAATTATTTTTGGGTAAAAATAATCCTTGCTGGGCTGCTAATAAATTTGTAGCAAAAATTGTTGTTGGATCAAAAAATGTTGGGAACATTTCTGTATTTCTATTTCCATTTCCCGTTAAAATTAAATTTAAAAGTGCTTGATGATGAGCTCCAATAATTGTTTCTGCAATTTTAGTTTTTTGTTGTTCTTGCAGTAATTGAGCAATAATTTGTAACAAAATATTTTTTTGTAATTCATTATTATTTTCATTTTCATTTATTAAATTTCCACTTTCTGAATTTTGTTGGAAAGTTTTTGAATTTGGGGAATTTAAAGGAAGAATTGTTTGATTTAAACAATTTAATAAAAATTGATCTAAAGGAGAAGTTGTTTTCTGTGTTTGTTGTTGTTGTTCGGTTGACAGAAAATTTGGCAAATTGTTTGGTGGAAAAGAGGAAGAGGAAATGTTTGTATTTAAATTATTAAATAAAAATTGTTGTTGATTAGGTGGTGGTAATTGTTGTGGGTGTTGGTCATTAATTAAAGGTGCTACCGACATTTCACGCAATGTTGAAAAACTGTCAACAGAAGAAAATGATGAATTGCGTGACTGAAAAAAAAGTTAAAAATGTTTTGATATTTAATTTTAAATAAATACTGTATTTACGTTTAACTAAAATACAAATTTAATTTTTGGTAGTAATTTTTTATTAAATGTTTCGGAAAGAGATTGACACATTTTACGGTACCTGGAAGTTTCTTTTAAAAATTAACAAGTTTAAATTAAATATGTATATGGGAATTATAGTTGATTTTCAAAAACAATTGTTCTTTATTTTTAAATCTTCGTGATAAAAAATTTTTTCGATTAAAGCAAAAATTCTGAAGTAGTGATATTTTTAAACAAAAATATAATCAAAAATTATTTTTTAAAAATCCCTCTCTCCCTGCCCCTCCAACCCCCCTCCCCCTTCTTTCCTTACTTTAATATTTTTAGGTGAAAGTTGTTGCTTATTTTGAATATTCCAAATTTGTTTATTTAACTCTTCCAAAGGTTCTTGTTGTAATTTAATATTTTTCCCTAATTCCTTTGAAGAAGTACAGGCAATTTCATTTTCTTCTTCAACTAAATTAATTGAAATTGTTGATTTCTTTTTTGTCGGAGGTTCTTCAGTCAAAATATTATTAGTATTTTCTTCATCTTCAGAATTTTTATTTAAATTATTATTTTCTCCTTCTTCTCCTCCTTTTTCCAAATTTAATTTATTACGAGAAGATTTTCCTTTTCCAAATCCTTCATTTTTATGTCGAGCAACTACTAAGGGAAATTAATTAAATATTTAATAAAAAAATATTTTTATATTACCCAAATGTTGATCTAGACGACGTCTTGTCTCTATTAATTCACAAAAATCACAACTACAATTTGTAAATGGGCATTGACGTTTATGTTGCTTAAAAAGAAAAAAATATTTTTAATAAAAATATGTAAATTTTAGGGGAAATTACAAAAATCCAATAATTATCCTCAACCTCAGTCCAAAACAATATTCTTCTTTTTTGTTTCTCTTTGAATTTTTAATAAATTTGGATTTACTGTATTTTATCAGAAGGACTTTATAAACATGACGTTTACATCTAAACCCCTCACAAACACAAATAAACAATTCCCAACCCCTCAATACAGTAATTTTAAAAGTTTATTTATACTCGTTTATTTTTTTACCTTTTTCCAAACCAAAACTCCGTGATTTTTACATTTTTGGCAAAAATAACACATATTTTTCCCATTAATATCCAGCATTTGTTGTTGGATGTCATCATCTACAATTAACCCATTTGTTGGTTGTTGTGGAGATGTTGAACGTTCTAATTGTTGTTGAAATTGTGGAGTAAGTAAAGGAATTACATCTGCTTCTTCTGGACGGTCTGTACGTTGAAAACGCTTATCCTTAGAGAAAATTAAATTTTTAGAAATTTTATTAGTTATTCTCATTTTTAATTTAAATAATTTTTTTAAATAAAAAATTAAAAAAATTAAAATTGATATTAAACGTGTAAGTGCCCGGCACTTAATAGGGGAAAGAAAAAACTGATTTAACAATTTTTAAGGAATAATTATAAATTTTGTTTTTATTTTAAAAATATTTTTTTATTTACCTGTGCTCGTCGAAGACGGATTTGTTGGCTCATAACAAGACGTCTACTTCTAACCAAATTACACTAAAAATTAATTAATTTAAAATTATTTTTTTTGTTAACTTTTTGACATTCACAATCTTTAAATTCACAAATATGCCCTCTAGTTTCTTCCATTTTCCCATGTTGACGGCAAATACCACAAAATCTTTTTACATCTAAAATTAATTAAAATTAATTAAAATTTATTTTAAATTTTTACCTCTCGGAACTCTTTTGCTAAAAGCAAAAAAACGTTGACAAGAATTATCTTCATTAGACATTTTTTAATTTAAATTTTAACTAAAAATAATTATTTTTTTAAATTTAAAAATGCGGTAAAGAAGAAAGGAATGCGCGATAAGCAAGTGATCAAATAGAAAAAAATATTTAAAAGTTTTGAGGGCTTATAAATGCTAGAAAATACTAAAAATGCCATAAAATGTGGAAATAATTTAAAGTGAGGAGGAGGAGGGGAAAGGGGGAAAAATTAAGAAGAAAATTATTAAATGTAGAAAATTAATAAAATTGATTAAATTTTGGGGGTAAATAGAGAGAGGGGTTTGAATTAAATGTTGAAATTTTTAAATTAAATGTTTAATTATTTAATTTATTTAATTAATTAAATTTATTTTTATATTTAAAATTAAAAATAATAATTTTAATTTACAAAAATTAAAAGTCGAAATTAATATTAAAAACTACATATACCGTATTACCTCTAATTGAATGCCTCTTTGGAAGGTGCTTGAAAAATTGAATGCCCGGTCATTCTAGTAGAGGTAATATGGTATTTTCTTTTTTTATTGAATTCAGAAAAATTGTTTTGTTATATCTGATTGTTTAGATTAACAGAATTAGTAAGAGATTTTGTAAATTATTTTAATTTAATTTTTGTTTAAAATAAATAAAATTTAATTAAAAAAAATTTTTTTTTAATTTAATTTTTCTGCAAAATTAATTTTTATAAAATTAATTTTGCAATAAAAATAAAAAGAAACATTTTTTTAACAAAAAGAACACATCAACAAATACATATTTATTATAAAAATTATTTATCAGAGAGTTTCTGGAGGAAAATTAATTATTTTTTTTATTCCAAAACTTTTTTTTTCTTTAAAAAATAACTGATAAAATTATTATAAATATTAAAAGATTAAAGAATTTTTATTGTTTAAAAAAAGAGTTAAAAAATATTATTTTGTACTTAATTTGATGGACAGATAAATACACAAATAATTTGTGAAAATTAAAGAAAACTGTGGACAAAATTAATTAAAAATTGAGGATGTTGTTAGAAAATATGTAGCTCTATTTATTTATTTATCAAGGACAATTTAGTTATTAATTTTTTAAAAAGAATTTAAATAAATTTATTAAAATATATTTTAATAAAAAAAAATAAAATTTAACTTAAAAGGGCAATTTTTGAATAAAAAAAGAATTAAAAAATGAACAAAATATAAATATATTTACTTAAAAATGTTCAAAATAAAAATAATTTTAATTTATGTAAATTATTTAAAATAAAAATTTTTTATTTAAATTTATTTTATTTAAATATTTTTTTGAGAAATGAAAGAAAAAAAGTAGAAAATTAAAATTATAATTTAAAAGAAAATATTAATATAATTAATATTTTATTTTAAAAAAATTTTTAAATTAAATAA